AACGGGCCGGAAGGGGTGGCCGGGCCGGGGGAACGGGCCGGAAGGGGTGGCCGGGCCAGGGTGGGGGTTTCCAGACCATGCTTATCACAGGAGCCCTGGGACTCCAGCTGGGGAATGCTGCGGAATTTGGCAAAAATAACACGTCGCTGGAGAAACCCACAGCTGCTGTCTGTCTCAGGGGAGAGGTGCTGACAGCAATTGTTTAAAAATCCAGGGGAGGCCGTGACCAGCTGTCACTTCAGCAGCGGATTCACAGAGAGGCCTTGTCTTGGGACCGGACTGCTGAGGGAGCCCCGCCGGCCTCGCTGGGGTGGGGTCCCTGCGGGGCTGGAAGCCTGGAATCCAGAAACTACCTCCAGCTGCTCCTCCGTGTTCTTCCTCAAGGCCTCTTCGAAGCGGCGGGCTCTGTCCCGCAGTGACTGGCTCTGGAAGGTCAGCGTGTCCACCTGGTCCTGCAAGTAATGATACAAGGAGTCCAGCTGGGGCCACTACAGACAGCAGCCACCACAGCCTGGGCAGCTGTGATCAGTGGGCCACCACTGTGCCCTGAGCACCCTCAGAGTGTTTCCCTGGGGGCTGGAGAAAGAGGAGCCAAAGGGAAACCCCCACAGCCACACGATGGAGGAGGGTGTCCCCCCGCGTCTGCCCTCGGCTCACTCTTCCTTGGTGCTTTGTCAGGAAGAGACCACAAAAGCACAGTGAGCCGGGGGCGTTTCACAACCTCTGATCCCACAGAGGCAGACAATCGTCAGAGAGAATCCTCAGAGGTGCCTCTTGTCCAGGAGGCACCCAGCCCCTGGCTTTGGGAAGGACCACGATTAACCTATTTCAAAGATGTATTCTCATTTAGGAAGCTCAATCCAGAGCCCTTCAAGCCCTCCTTGACTTCTTTCTCTCCCTTGGGACCCCTCCCACATCACCAAACCTTCTCATCACCAAGTCCATAATCAAGTCCTGCCATCCTGAATGTCCCTAGAACCCACAGACTCCCCTAAGCTCCGGCCACTTTGCTGGCTACTTTCTGAGACGATTCCTGTTTTTTTCTGATCACTCCTTTGCCCTCACACTGTAGTGAGGCACTCTTTCTAACGTGCAAACCGGAACCTGTCCTTCCCCTATCTCCTACCCCACTGCCCTCAAGCTGCAGTGCACACTCCCTAACACAGCGTCCTCCCAGCCTCGCTGCCTCCCTTTCCTCTCGTGCCAGCTCTCCTGCTGCCAGTGCCTTCCTCCAGCCAGCTCCCTCTCACTCCCGCTTCACTCTGGCTCCCACACAGCCTTCCCGGCCTCAGGACTGGGTTGCATGTCCTTGATAGGAGCTGCCACGTAAGCCAACTCTACATAGTCTCCTCCTCCCTGCTCAGACCCGCCCCGTGGCCAGACTGGTGCTCCCAGCCCTCAGCCTTCCCATGCCTGCCAGCTAGGCAGGCCGCTGGCCACTCTCCACCTGCAGGTTGAAGGAATATAAGGGTGTCTATGGAGACACTGCACCCCTTCCCCAGCTCCCAGCGCAGATGCACCTGCACTGACCCTGCCCCACTCAGCTCCGGCCATGACTCTCAGGACCACAGGCTGGCAAAGGACCGCTGATGCCCAAGGAGAGCTTCACCCTTCATGTCTCACTCATGCAGACCAGTCCAAAGCTCTTTGCCCAGTACCATTTCTATAATATCAAAACACAGAAACTAGGGTCTCCCATTAACTCTTCTAAAAAAGTATATAGATATACAGATACACATACACACACACACACAC